ACACCCACCTCCCAGCAAAGCTCCCTCAGACTGGAGGACCTCTCCACAGTTTCAGGAGGCAGGTGCCAACTCAAGCCAGTAGAGTCTGGCTCGACAGCATTACCTATCTCTGTGAAAATGAAGAAATCTCTGGTTCTGCACCCAGGACCTTGTTCCATGGTGCAATTGCCCTTGCCCCTCAAACAATGACCTCTCTTAAAATTGTTGCAGACCATACATAATGTGGCTGGGCCTGTGAAAAGAGACATGAAGGTTAATCCCAGGGTTGGATGGATTGAGACTAAGGTGTGCTAGGATACTGGTAGGATGAAAGAGTTCAAGGGGAAACCATGACCCTAAACACTTCCTCCAATATAATCTTAAGGCTTGGAAATGCTCCCCTATTGGATTAAGTCCATTGATTCTTTAAGGATATGGGCCTTTGACACAGGCATCTCGATTCCGTTAAAAATAAAGTGAAAGTGCTTAGTTATGGTGTCCTTATGCAGAACTCAATGAGAGCATCCACACACAGCTGCCTGAGGCTAGGAATCTATTAGAAAATGATAAGACATAAGGACTGTAGAAGCTCCAAAGTAGGGATGCAGTCTTACAAAATTTCCTACCGTACCTCCCCGTAAAAGTCATCTGATGCCCAAACACATCTACGTGGCAAGGATGCACTTGCTATGGCAATATTGGTTCAGCATTAGCCATTCAATGACCTGTTCCTGCCCGAACACTACTCTAGGCTGCTTCTTGATAGAAAGTCTCGAGCTACCGTTGGCTCTGCTGCTTAGGGCCATCCCAGCCAGCCCCAAGGCCCTAAAGTGGGAAGAGCCCTTGGCCCCAATCTGCCCCAAGGGAGTGACTGACTCCACTCTGAGATCTTAGGAAGGGACCTGAACTCTTTCCCTGGGAGTAGTCGGGGTGGCAACAGCAGACAGAGACCTTAAACCCTTGGGGGGCAGATCACCCCAGAACCTCATCCTTAAGCCCGTTCCCTCCCAGCCAGGTCAGGCCACCACCCTGGGGCTCCTCCCTCATCCCTGCCCAGCCGCCCCAGGACCTCACCCACTCCTTGGAAGAACTCAAAAGGGAAGACTGCCAGCAGCAGGAGCAGGAGCAGGGACTTGTCCATCTCAGTTTGGGATGGCAGCAAGATACACAGGCTGGCAGGAGAGGGGAGCAGAGTGTCCAGGAAGAGCGAGGACAGATTGCTCTAGAACCTGGACTTGACTGCTCCCAAGCTGTGGGCAGAAGCTTCCTTTTATGTACCCACCAAGGCAGGTTTCGCCACCGCCCAGTCCCAGGAAACACTCCCACAGACCTAGCCCCATTGGATACTTCCAAGGACAAAGGATGTCCCATGTGTCCCTCCTGTTCCCTTGAGACCGCCTCTGGCTGAGTGGGGGACCTGCTGCTTGGCCGGATCTGCTGGGCCCTCAGCAGTCCCTGCCCCTTCACCCTCTGGACATCCCACTGTGCCAGGTCCCAGACAGGGGCTTATGTGGGCAGGGCTTTGCTAACTACCCATTTCCTCTGGGTCCAATGTCCCATATGACCACCTCCTCACCAGTCCCATGGCCCAAGCCAGTCCTCAACCTGGTGGACACCCTGCTTCAGGGCTCAGGATGTGTTCATCACAAGCGTGGTCTGTAGCTTCTTCTGTCCCTTCCCTCTCCCTACGTTGTGCTCATAGTTAAGATAGGGCCTTCTGCTAAATAAAAATTATTCATGACATTTGTTAAAGATAGTAAGGTAGACTTTATCCAAGGGGGCAATTGTAAGAGGGTTTTGTAGTAAGGGAAAGAGATAGGACTCAGCTCTGAATCCAAGACAATCAAATGGAGATTTATAGCCAAGAAACAGAGTGGGGTCTGTAATGCAAAACAACTGAGAGGACACATCGGATCTGTGAGAATTCTTGCTAGGTGGACTGGTGTAGTGAACACGAGTCTTGCCGAAGGCAGGGCAGGATGATAGGATATGGAGGGCTAGGGATGAGATATTCGATCAGATACCAAGGTGAAGGTGTTTTGCTAAACTGACCCAGCAGGCTTCTTGCTAAAACTGGACATAACAGGCCCAAAGTCAGGAACTAGTCAGAAAGAGTACTCAGGGGAGCTTTACTCAAGTTTGGTGAAAGTAGGGAGTTTTTGTGACCTCTCGGTAGTAAATCGGTGTTGGCAATGTGAGAATAGTTATAATAACAATCATTTATTTAGTATTTTCTATAAACCAGGATCTACATCTGCTGCCACCATACAATGTGATTATTTAAGATATATCTTCCACCTGTCATGAATACATAAAATATACAGCAAATACTATCCAAATGGCAAAATAGAAGCCTTATAGATAGATAGTGGCTAGGTTCTTTTATAAAGAATAAAACAGTCCCTACTATATTCAACTGTCTTATTTTGCTGGCCCCTAAAAACACAGACTCACGTTCACCAAGATGAATTTACCTCAGAGAGAAACTCGCACTTACTGTTCCGGGACGTGGCTGGAAGGTTCAGAATTTTACGAACATTCTGCATCCGTGTGGCTCGCGAGGCCGGTGGGACACACCAAGCAACTTAGGTGCAAATTATTTTTCTGACTTCTTGATTCCAATTTTCTGCTCACATCCGCTCAAGTGTCTTCAGCTCGCTCATTGTGCCTGATAAAAATATCCAACCCTCCACCAGAGTATTCATGCTTGGAGATCCAGCCAAGGGAAGGAGAGAGACCATGGAGCAAGACCCCAATGTGCAGAGTGGGAGCTGGAGAAAATGACCCAGGTAGCAGTGGCACCTTCTCGTTGCCCTCTGTTCTCTTCCGTCTAGACAACACATTCCCAGCAGAGACCTTGACAGTCATGTTTCCCAGCAAATCAGAAGCAGTCAGCACAATGCACGGGACAGAGCAGGAACTCAAGAAATATTTCTGAGTAAACAAGAATGATAGAGCAAATGGATGAATGCGTGAGTATCTGCCTGCCCAGGAAGCAGCTGCAGGAGAGAAAGGGCTGAGAACCCCTCACCCCCACCCCCACCCCAGACTGAGAGCCAGCTGCATCCTCCACTGTGAGAGCAGAGCTATGATGCATGAGAACACCCCTTTACCGCACTCCCCAAACTGAGGAACTTTGCTGAGTAACTCAAGGTCACCTGCATGCCAGTGTGCCTCTCTCACAGCAGCACTGGAACTCAAGGGGAGCCCGCAGTTCCCCAAATCTGACATCACCCCCATCATAATCGTGCAAAAAAAAAAAAAAAAAAGACAGCGAGGGAGGAGTAGAAAATGGGGGAAATCATCAGAACTGCCAAAGAGCAGCTCTGTTCTTCTGTAGCATTGTTTTACTGAAGACACGTTGTTCTGTGCAAACTTGAAGAATGTCATGAGGATGATGCCTAATGTGATATTGGAAAGCGACACGGTATCACCTGGGGAACCGAGGCAAAGAGAGTGACCACAGAACATAATGATCTGGTCAGATCTCCTTGTGGAAACTTGTACTCCTCGAACATCCTGCTGGTGCTTCCTAAGGAGAGGCTTGTGGAATTCCTGTCGAATGATGTACCTGTTCTGTGTAGCTTGCTGGCAATAAACGAACCTTCTTTTAAAGATTTAGGGGGATGCGACCCCACTGGAAATTGTCCATGGCGGCTATGGAATGACAGTAAAATACAATGGAGGTGGTAACTGACTGCGAAGTCCTACTTGTGTATCTGGGACCAGCCAGGAATCAGGTGGAGACCTCACAGGCTCCGTCTGTACCAGCAAAGGGTGTGATCACCTGACGGAAGAATCTACTGCCCTAGATTCCTGGCTGGCCTTCCTTCATCCGCTCTTCCAGTCAAGCTTCCTCAACGCCACCCCGTCATGTCTCTCCCTCAGGTGCACAGGAAGGTCATCTGACATGGTGGAATGGTGCTGAGTGCTAAGTTGTGGAGGTTTCCTGACTGTTCAGAAGCAGGGGAGGAGGAATTGGAAACATGATGGATGCCACGTATTAAATTCATCTGAAGCCCACAAGTGCCTCCCAGACTCATGAACTTGGCGAAAATCCAATAGTGAGAATGATCTATGCCTCTATTCTAAGCTTAACTATTAATAAAGTCCCATTTACTCCCAATTTGTCCCAGTCAGGAGGATAAATTATGCAACCAGCCTACTCAGAGGTGACCAGGCACAATCTCTCCCCAGTGCAGGAACCTCCTCCTCTGCAGCATCCAGAGAGCCGGCATCCAGAACCACCACACTTCCAGGCCCATGTCAGTCCCCATCGGATCTTCCCATCATGTATCTAGGCTGAGACCCAACAGGGGAGTGCCTTGGTCAGAGCACAGACTCAGAAGTCAGACCCATCTGGGTTTAAAGCCTCATTCCAGCATTTAAAAATTTTAAGGCCAGGGGCGCCTGGCTGGCTCCGCTGGTTAAGCATCTGCCTTCGGCTCAGGTCATGATCCCAGGGTCCTGGGATCAAGTCCCACATCAGGCTCCCTGCTCAACAGGGAGTCTGCTTCTCCCTCTGCCCCTCCCCCCTGCTCGTGTTGTGTGCTCTCTCTCTCTCTGGCAAAAATAAATAAATAAATAAAAATTTTAAGGCCACGACAAGTTACATCGTGTTACATTTCAATTCCTCTACCAAGGAGAAATGATAATAGTACCTAACTCACAGAATGGCTCTAGGAAAAAAAATTATACACACACACTGAATGTCAGGCTTTTATTTTTATTTTTTTTTTAAACAACAAGTTTATTTAAACAACAAGATGCTTGACTTGAAGGGAAAACTACCTAGGATTCATTTCTTTTAGGGTAATATATCCCTACTTAAAGACAGATTGCCCTACATGTAACAGCTACGTACAAAAAAGCTATAAAATTGTTGTTATAAAAGGATTTTTATGTTTTTCTTTTTTTGTTAAACTGTGAGAGCAAAATAACTTACTGGAATATAAAGATAAGAGCTGACTGAGCATGCCACTAATGGGGAGAGGGGTATTTTCACAGAAACAGTGTTTTCCCCCATCCCATCTCCATTTGATGTCGATCAAAACATACCATTGGCCATTTAGTTAAAAAAATGCAATATGCTTGTGCACATACACAGTTACTTTATGTACAATAAAGGAACAGGGAAGAGGAAAATGAAAGAATAGAGAAAACTGTACTGTAGTACTCAGGATGTGGTGGAACCAAATTGTGGCTTTCTACTTGAGAATGTCTTCTTGGTCTGGAGGAACAGAGTTCTGGAGTAAAGTAGCAGGTTCCCTTTTTAGTAGACACCTCCTGTCTGCTGCTGGAACACATCAATTGTGTCTTCATCCTCCATTTCCAACTGTGCAGGTGTGTCTGTCTCATTGATTGGCTGCCCATCAAATCGGAATCTGATCTGCCTCATTGACAAACCCTGTCGTTCACAGTAGGCTTTCATTAGATTACTAAGTGGTGTGTGCCTCTTAATTGTAAACTGCACCACAGAACCATCCTGCCCCGCCACCTTCAAATGAATATGATCGTTGTTCTCAGTCTTGACTCCTTCCTTGGGCTTTTCATCGGCCATGGTGAGCACCGGAGTCTCCTCAGCTGCGGCTTCACCAAAGAGGTACCAGCTCCACACCGAATATCAGGTTTTTAGCACAATGTCCAATGCAGAGTAAGGATCCAATAACTATTACCTCAATTATCTGTATTATTGTTCTGTCTCAATGCTAACAATTATGACTCTCTTAATAAAAACTGGATTTAAAATCGGTACTAGGAAATATCGCAAGCTTATAGTTAGTGACGCCTAGTCTCTGCCTGTGCGGTCAGCAGTCCTAACTTCACCCCAGCACACACACACTCACACACACATCCCTCCATATGGACATGCCCTTCCCTCCCCCCAACAGCACACAGAGGCCGCAGCTACAAAGGCAGGCCGAGTCCCTGATCTGCCATCTCCCACCATGTCCCTCCTTCTCGTTCATGTTCTATCCCGGGAACCTGCTGCCACTGTCCAGACCAATGACAAATTGTAGCAGCAAGAACCGGAGTGTTACTTTATGAGGCAGTGAACAGGCTGCCCTGCCACTGGCCCTTCAAGGATTCCCAAATTACCACTGTGAACATGTGTCTTCTTTCAACGTGTTTCCTGTGGATTCCATGTAGTTTCATCCATGATGCACAGTGTAATCTGATGGAAGAGCCACTTACCCTGGAATGCTGATTATAAAACCCATATGGATAAACCCCCTGGACCCAGCCCCTAAATCTCTCCTGTCTGGCTGGCCCTGCCCGCCCCCCCCAGGACCATCCCCCCCCACCACCGCTTTCCTCTCCACCACCGACACCGACCACGAATGCACTCCAGCCATTCTTCACTCATTCTTCACCCATTGCGGCTTGACAGCCAGGACATCTCTGGTGTGATGTGGGTGGGCTTGGGGCAGGGAAGAATGCATATGTGGTGGGGAGGGGTATACATGGGGGCAGAAAGCACTGGGGAAATCAAACTCTGAGTCTTCGTGTCTATTTCTCAGATGGCATCATTGTAAACTTTCTTTCTGACATATACTCCAGGGAATCCCCTCCCTCCACTATCTGTTTTGGCATCATTCACGGAACTCCTTAACTACCTCACACATAGAAAGGATGGACATGCACTGGGAATGCTTTCAAGGGCCAGCTTGATAAAGGGACTTGCCACTCAGCCCTATTCCCCACAGTGCTACTCTCCTCAGAGCTGGAAGTCCTTGTCAGAGTGTTCTTATCCTATCCCGGGACACTGATGGTCCCTTTGCCCCCTTGGGTGGGATGAGGGTAGAGCCACAGGGAAGATGGGCCATGGAGCTGTCCTGCTGGGAAGATCTCACTTCCAGCACCTATCACTATCTGAGAATTGACACATGGGATAGGGCAAAGAGAGCAGTTTAACTTTTCCCACATCACCCCTCTCCCAGGGAGGAAGATCTTGGTGCCAAGAGAGACTCCTGTGGCCCATGGTTTCTACCACAGGGAAAAGTGAGATAGGAATGAGTGCCCAGCTTCTCCCAGCCTTGTAAGATGTTGTTAAAGTGACTGACTCACTCTATGTTGCCCCACCCAGAGCATGTAGGGGATCAGCAGGGCTGAATAGTCTAGGGGGACCTAGAAGAAGGGCAAAGGGGAGGGGCTGGTTCCTGAAAACTGTCCACAGATCCTACTAACATGCTGGCAGGCTCCACCAACAGGCCCACACATGGAGACCATGGGACATCTTATCTGTAGGACCCTCCAGCACCCTGCACATGCCCTCAGGTTGGTGCACTGGAAACTAGTATGAACAATTTTGCTGACAAACTAGATAAATGAAAACAAATGCATAAATTCCCAGGAGCATATAACCTACCGAGACAGAATCACGAAGAAATAGAATTTCTGAACAGACCAATAATGAATAAAGAGATTGAAACAGTAATCAAAAGCCACCCAAAAAAGAAAAGCCCAGAATGAGATGGCTTCACAGGTGAATTCTACCAAACATTTAAAGAAGAATTAATGCCAATATTTCTCAAACTCTTCCAAGAAATTTAAGAAAAGAGAGTACTTCCAAACTCATTTTACAAACCAGCGTTACCCTGATACAGATAAAGACACTACAAGAAAAGAAAATCTAGGTCAACATCTCTGATGAACATAGATGCAAAAATCTTCAACAAAGTACTAACAAACTTAATTCAACAGCACATGAAAAGGATCATACACTATGATCGAGCAGGATTTATCTCTGGAATGCAGTGATGGTTCAACATATGTAGATCAATAAATGTGATACACCACATTAACTGAATGAAAAATAAAATCATATGATCATCTCAGTAAATGCAGGGAAAGCATTTGACAAATTTTAATATCCCTTCATGATAAAAACTCAACAAATTAGGTATACAGGAAATGTACCTCAGTATAATAAGGACCATATAAAGGACAAACCCAGAGCTAGCATCATATACAATGGTGAAAGCTGAAAGATTTTCCTTAAGATCAGGAACCGACAAGAGTTCCCATTCTCACCACTTCTATTTAACACAGTATTGGAAGTCCTAGCCAGAGTAATTAGGCAAGAAAAATCAATAAAATGCATCCAAATTAGAAAGGAAGAAGTAAAATTGTCTCTGTTTGCAGATAACATGTTTTTAGATGAAAAAAAAACCCCCAAAGTTACCACCAAAAATACTATTAGAACTAAGAAATGAATTCAGTAAGGTTGGGGGATACAAAACCAAGATATAGAAATCAGAAATCACACAACCAATGAACTATTCAAAAAAGAAATTAAGAAAACAATCCCATTTACAATGCCATCACAAACAAGAAAATACTTGCAAATAAATTTAAACAAGTGAAAGAACTGTACACTGAAAACTATAAGACATCAATGAAAGACATAGAATAAGACACAAATATATGGGAGGATATCCCATGTTTGTGGTTTAGAAGAATTAATACTGTTAGAATGTCCATACTACCCAAAGCAATCTACATATTCAATGTAATCCCTATCAAAATCAAAATTAAATTAACATTGTTTAACTGAAGTGTTAAGGAAAATGTTTTTCTAAAGATCTAACAGTTTAATATTACACAATTAACTCCACTATTTTCTAATGTTAAGATGGACTTGGAGGCAAGGTTTTACTAGATGTGGAATTGATTGTAGAATTGGCTATATTGGGGTTGCCTGGGTGGCTCAGTCATTAAAGTGTCTGACTTCGGCTCAGGTCATGATCTCGGGGTCCTGGGATCAAGCCCCATGTTGGGCTCCCTGCTCAGTGGGGAGTCTGCTTCTCCAGCTCCTTCTGCCCCTCCCCCTGCTCATGCTCTCATACTCTTTCTCACTCCTTCTCTCTCTCTCCCTCTCAAATAAATAAATAATCTTCTAAAAAAAATCCCAATGACATTTTTCACAGAAATAGAAAAACCAATCCTAAAATTCATAGGGAACCACAGAACACCTTAAATAGCCAGATTAAAGCTGGAGGCATCACTTTCCTGATTTCAAATCATATTATAAAGCTAGACTAATAATCAACACAGTATGTCACTGGCATAAAAACAGACACATAGACCAATGGAACAGAGAGATGGCTAGAAGTAAATCCACGCATGCAGTCAAGTGAACTTTCACAAGGACACCAAGAATACATAAGAGAAAAGATAGTTTCTTCAAAAAACAGTGGTGGGAAAACTGGACATACACCTGCAAAAGAATGAAATTTGACCCCGATCTTACACAAAAATACACAAAAATCATCTCAAAATAAATTAAAGACCTAAACATAAGCCCTAAAACTGTGGAACTCCTAGAAGAAACCATAAGAGAAAAGCTCCTGGCCATTTATCTTGACAATGATTTTTTCGGATTTGACACCAAAACACATGTAACAAAGGCAAAAATTAATGTGTGGGACTATATCATACTAAAAAGCCTCTGCACTGCAAAGGAAACAATCAACAAAATGAAAAAGCACCTTATGGGAATGCCTGGGTGGCTCAGTCAGTTAAACGTCTGCCTTCAGCTCAGGGTTCTGGGGTGGAGTTCTTTATCGGGCTCCTTGCTCAGTGAGGAGCCTGCTTCTCCTCTATCTGCCATTCCCCCTGCTTGTGCTCTCTCTCTCTCTCTTTCTGACAAATAAATAAAATCTCAAAAAGAAAAAAAAAAGGAAAGAAAAAGCACCTTATGGAATGGGAGAAAATATTTGCAAGCCAGAAAGAAACACATGAAACTTAATACCAAAAACATTAAAAACCTAGTTTAAAACTGGGCAAAGGACTGGAATAGCCAGCAGATCTACAAATGGCAAAAAGGTATACGAAAATGTGCTGATCATCAAGGAAATGCAAATGAAAATCACAATGCGATAACACCTCACACCTGTTACAATGGTTATTATTTTGAGAAAAAGTGTTGGTGAAAACGTGGAGGAAAGGGAACCCTGATACACTGTTGGTGGGAAAGCAAACTGGTACATTCACTATGGAAAACAGCATGGAGAAATGACCATATGATCCAGCAATCCAACTTCTGGGTATTTATCTGAAAGAAATGAAATCAGGATCTCAAAGAGATACCTGTTATCTTATGTTCAGCATTATTCACAATAGCCAAGATACAGAAACAACTCAAATGTTTATCAACAGATGGATAAATAAAATGTGATATTTGCATACAATGTAATGTTATTCAGCCATGTGCAAAAACATGGAAAACATTATGCCATGTGAAATAAACCAGATGCAGAAGCACAAATACTGTATGGTTTTACTCATATATGGTATCTACAATAGATTTTATTTATTTTGAGAGAGAGAGAGTAACCATGAGTCAGAAGCAGAAGGAGAGTGAGAAGCAGACTCCCCACTGAGCAGGGAGCCCAATGCAGGGCTGGATCCCAGGAGCCTGGGATCATGACTTGAGTGAACAAAGGCAGACACTTAACAGACTGAGCCACCCAGGCATCCCCATAGTCACATTTTTTAAAGAAGCCCCTGATCCTTCATTCTCTCCAGACACCAGTCAACTCTCTAATTCTTATTTCAAATTTCTTGCAAGTGTT